CCCAGTATGGGCCTAATACATTACTGAATGGCCATACTCAATTACATTTCTATATCCAGGCTTTGCCATCTACTTAAAGTAGGAGACACAGAAACAGAACATTTAGAGTCAGATTGTGTTGGTGACACCATGTGTTGGTGATGATGCAGAGCCACAATACTCTACATGAGAGCTCTGGAAGACACTGTGCCTCAGCAACGCATAATGCCTCCCTGAGATCCCTGGCACAAAAGGTATCATGTATGCTTCACTCTCCTTCTTCATGTGCAGCATGCTCTCCTTCACACCTACTCAGCTCTGCGCTCAATGTAGAGGCTCTGACTCTTTCCCACCCTCTTTGGGATAGTAAACACTCAGGAGGCTCTTAGCACAGGGATTGCAATCCTGGCTGGCTCCTATCCCAGGTATTGAAAGGAGGAAACTTTGTGCACACCACCTTCTTAATTACCTATCAAGGGGTGGGAGTCAACCAAGGTTTGGTTCTTAAATTAGTCTTGCATGAAGTTATTACGCACCTAAAGTGATTTTAAAATGAGAAGGTATCCAGATTTTGTGAGGTGAGTTCATCTGATCTTCTTAATGTCACAACTAACTGAGTAAAATGATCATCCACATATCTATAGGGACACTATGGGACAGATCCTTAAGTGATGTAACTGACTTCTCTCCATTAGCTTCAATTACATCAGCTGATCTGGCTCTGTGTCAATAGGCTCACATAGCAGCATCAGACTGGGTTTTGGGGGTTATATGGTCTAGTGAGTCAAATGAATGAATAATGTTGCCAAACACCACATTTTCGAATTCACGCATATATTGGAGCTATTGTAAATTAACAACATATGTTTCAAAGGTTTGATTATAGTAAAAAAGTATGATAAGACATTGGGCCAATTTCTAAACTCATTACACTGGTCTTGCATTATTTTAACTCTGCCGATTCCATTAATTACTCCTGATTCGCAGCAGTGTGAGGTCAGATTTGGGACCAGTGTGTGTCTGATGGAAATGATATTGAGTGAAACAGTGGTATAATTTGTATTCATAAGGAGAACTATCACCATCAAGGACTCAGTTCCATAAAACTCAAGATTTCTCTCTATTTTGGTGGCTTTCTGAAGGGCATAGCCTGGCCCTGAATCCTTATTCTGATAAAACTACCACTGATTTTTGATTAGCTTTCTTTTGTATTGTTGTTTTTCCTTTGAAAGCTCTGTACTTTTTTTATTCCAATGAAATTCTCATTCACTGAGAGTTCACCTGAGGAAAGAGTGCAGGATTGGGTTGAGATGGATGAATGCTTCAATACAACACCAAGAAGGGTGTAGGTCACGAAGGAGAACTCAATTGAAAATGCGAAGCAGTCAGTGTTTTAAAGTGTGAAATTGCCTCAGGATACTGATGCTCACTCACTCTTTGAGATTGTTCTGATATGAAGAAGGTATTACTCTAGAAACCTGACTAATGCTAATTGTTAATATTGTTAAAGCCCAATCCTATGAAGAGGAACTTCTATTGACTTCAACTCAGCACTTCTCAGTATGGGAACCTGAGACAGAATGGAAGGGAAAAACATTAGTAGTGGGGTGAAGGGGGAGAGCTAGGAGGACTGGGAAGGATTTCAGTGATCAACAAACTATTACTTAAATTCAAGAGTATTTTTCCACCCTCCATATCTGCTCTGCTCTTACTCCGTGAGATCAAGCCTTACGTATTGTATCCTTGGTATTGCCAACCCCTTTGTACAAAATTATGAGACAAGTTCCCCAAATAATGAAATTGGCTTAAAAATGAAAAGATTTTTTAAAAAATAATAAATGATGTGTTTCTTTTTTTATTTGCCTCATGTGTTTGTCGCTGTTGTTCACTTTTTAAAGTTTTTCTCTGTACCCACAAGGGCTAGAAACCTACTTAAAAATTAAAAAGTTGAGATTCGCACATAATTCACACCTCACTCTTGGGACTGGAGCTTTAAGAAAAAACACCAAATATCAACAGACTTGCAATAAAATCAGGAGCTGGCAAAACTCTCTATTGATCTTAGAGTTTTATACTGCCACACATCATCATATTATTTAAGAGCCCTGCATGTAAAATCAACAGCATTAGGAAAGTCCCTAGAGGACTTCAGAAAGTCTCTGTAACTTCTTTTATGGTGTCAGACTTTTGCTTGGGGTAGGTTTTTTGGGAGGGTTGAGAGGAGTTTGGGAATAAAAGGGGAGTTCAAGCAGTGAGTATTTCTTATGGTGGTAAAAGTTTTCTCAAAGAGGAAGGCTTGGCAATATTTCCTAAAGATGGTCAGATTCTGGATTCACCTGATCTTCTGTGGAAAATTGTTCCAGACCTAAGCCTCCTTGACCAAGAATACTTTGTCTTCAGCTTTCACGTGCTTTGTACTGGACTTTGAGATCTGCATTATTCCAGAGGAGCACAGCTGTTTGAGGGTTCATAGATCAATATTCAGTCTGTGGTATGCCTGGGCTTTGATCCATTAATTGCCTTGGAAATTAGGACCATGGTCTTAAACTGGTATTGGATGCTGTTTGGGAGCCAGTGGAGGGACTTGAGCACAGGCCTTATTTGCTCATGGGGGCTGAGCCATAGAGTAGGCGGGCAGCCTCATTCTGTACCAGTTGGAACCTGAGCATTCTCTTCAGCTTCAGATAAAGCAAGTTACAGTAATCCAGCCTGGAGATGATAAATGCATGGCTCATTGTAGCCAGGTCCTCATCTGGGAGGAAGGGATGAAGTTTCCTGGCAAGCTGGAGGTGAAAGGAGGCATTTTGGGAAACTGATGCTCCCTGATCATCTAAGTTTAGTGAGGAGTCGAACAAGACCCTAAGGCTTCACACCACTTTGATGAATGGGGCTGTATGGCTTCGTTGGAAGGTGGAGACAGAATTTTGGCTAGATCTTCAAAGTGTTTCCCCTTTCTGACCTGCATCACTTCAGCCTTGCCTGGGTTCAGTTTGAGCCAGCTGCTTTTCATCCAAGAGCAAATTTCCTGTAGGCATTCTGCCATTTTAGTAGCAGCAGTGGTTCCATCAATTCAGAATGAGATATATAGGTGAGTGTCATCAGCATCAGTAATAATTTTTTTCTTAAAACCTATATTCCAATGCCTTTCACTATTTAAAATAAACTAGTGAAACTAATGGTATTTGGGAAGTTGCACTGTTCTACACTACGTCCTTTGGTCCTTAACAAAAGGAATAATTCCTTTTTTCAAAACTGTATAACTCAAAATTATTGGGCCTAATTCTTGAATTCAGCTAAACTGTGCTTGCCACAGGACCCCAGGAGCTGACATGTAGGAACATGGATATATGTGGCCTTTATACCACTCCTCTCCCTATTCAGTCCCACAGCTACGGAGTGACTCCTAGCTGTACCTGTCACTTAGTGGATGTGTCTGGAGCTGGGCATTTCTGGAGCATAGCAGCATGCTCTAGGCTACAGTCCAGGAGGCAGTTTTGCAGGGGCAGACATCTTGCAAAAACTGTGAATTGGCTAGTTAGGCTAGCTTTATGGCTTCTTTGTACTTTTGGGGCAGCACAAAGAGGTCATATTAGAACAAATAATTGGGTGCATTATCTTGATTATACACTACTGCTGTGTAACATATTTTATACAAACTGCATCTCAGTTCTTTACAGAGTTTTTTCCTAAAGATTGGGCCAAATCCTAGTCTTGGTGAAGTCAATGGAAGTCTTGCAAGTAACTTTAGTAAGATAAGTGTTTGATTTCCCGCCCCCCTCACCCTCCTGACTGCCCCGCATAAGCCAGCTGTTCCTAAATCCTGTAATTAGTGTGCTGCCAGCAGCTGGGGGTCAGGTGAAAGCCTTCTAAAGTCATTTGATTTTTTTTCTTGCAGTATTTTATGTGATGCTTTCAAGAATTATTTGGACTGTTGATACTAACTTTTGGACATAGAACTGGAAACTGCTACAGACACCATTTGCATTTTCTCAGTTCTTTAGTTAATGGCTATTGGATCTAACAACTAGCTCCAGAACAGAAGCAGATCAAATCACTTTAATGGCAAAGCTGCACAATAAAAACAATTTTGAGGTCTGAATTTCTCAGTGATGGGGCAACATTGAAAAGTTATGGGGTAACAATGGTCACTTCTCAGCTTATTTGGCCTTCTATGGCAGATATAGCTTTTGACACCATAAAAATGAGCTTTACATGAAAATTAAAATTATTGATAGCAGCTTTGCATGTATCTCTTGCAATTGCAACTAGGGTACAACACTCCCTCAGTTTTTCTGTGCAAGTCATTCTGTTTGGACCAGATTCTGCTCTCAGTTATACCTGACTAAATCTGGAGTATCTCCCTTGGAATCAGTGTTTAGTTAGAATTACTCTGGTATCATTGATCTGAGAATCTGGCTGTGTCCTAGTCCTTGATTTTGTAAGTACGGGATGATAGTGTGTGCTTTACTCAATGGGCTTGGAAAGTCAGCTGTTCAGAATTTTACAGTCCCAAAGACTCTAGCACATGCATCGCTACCCCTGTTCCTAAGGTGTTTCTTGGTTACTAATGAAAGATGTGAATACAGTATTTTCAAAACTGTATTGTTACCTTTAAAAATGACCGCAATCCGCCCCAAATTTGGGGGAAGTTCAGATCCAAATCTGGATCCTTACTTAACAGCTGACTTCTTATTCCATTAGCTGAACCAAAACACTGGATTCCAAGCTCCCAAACTTGGGGAAAGTTCTAGTACTGATCCAGATCCAAACTTCACATCTTGGGTCGATCTCTTCGTACTTTTAAAAGCTCTGCCAGGCGAATACTTTTGTGCCAGATAGATTGTACTATTTATTTATCTTTGGCTGTAATTCTTTAGGGAGTGAGCAAGAGTGACCGTTGACCCAATACATATATATCTATGCTGTACCTGCATGATGTGATTTCATGTTCCCTAGGTACAAATACTGCCCTTCCAAATATCATATACCTAGAATGAGGGGGTTTTGTTTTATTTTTATAGACCCTGCCAGTGCGGAAGATTCCATGCAAAGCCAATGCTCCTTCAGGGTCTTTTTTTGCACGAGACAACACAGCAAATTTCTTATCCTGGTGCAGAGATGTGGGGGTGGACGACACATGCCTATTTGAATCAGAAGGCTTGGGTACGTACTTGCTTATATGGTAATTGACAATGTTAAAATTCTGCTTTTATAGTGTCTACTAAAAGGTCAGTTGTGCTACCACTGATTTTAATGGGAGTTGGATTAAACCAATAAGGCAAAAGCACTGCTGTTTAAAATTGATTGGCTACTGAATATCTTTGTGGTCCAGGTGGACATTTTGCAGATGGTTAACTTTCATACGTGCCTTGTTACATATGTTAGAAGTATAGTGTGATCTACTAAAGGTGATTAAATAGCATTTCAAAATACTATATTCATTTTTTTAAAAAAAAACAGATGACTAGGAAGAAAAATTCCAACACAGTGTTTTTAAAACCTGGAAATAAAGTTGCTTAATGTATTGCAGGCACTTAACCTGTGGCCCTTAATCAGTCAAAATTCCTATTTATTTCACTGGCAATTCAGTTTGAATAAGAACTGCACAGTCAGTGATGGCACTAGACACTCTAGTGCCCTAAGCCACTGCTACCCAACGGGGAAGAGGGAATCTTTAAAAGGGCAGTCCCCTATCAATGATATCCTGGCTGGGCCACAGCCGTCTTGAGCTTTGGATCTCACCACTTACTGCTAACCTGATGGAGTGCCAGGGGGGCAAGTGGGTGCATCTGGACAGACACTTATAAGCATAAGAGCATGCAATGGAATGTTCAAAATTAGTCATATTTTAATATCTACATATGTGAGACCATGCCATTTTTAGATACATAGTAGTTATTAATGACCAAATTCCTCCATGATATTGTGGTTCATGTTAAAATGGATGGTTAAAAGAAAAAAAATCTGTTTCTGAACTAGAACTTTATCATTGGTCAGAAAATTTTAATTAATTAAGCACCAGGACCAAGAGCCATTAAAGTTTAGACACTGCTTGCAACCTGCAGTAAAGTACAACTGAGTTTCATCTTGTAGTAATAGATATAGTAATAATACTACTACTAATAAAATAATGTAAAACTAAAAAAAGCAGCTGTGACAGAAATCAGGGGGAAGAAAATACTGTGCTAGCTCCTGAGTCTGCATGCACCCCCCTGCAAGGGATGGGCACAAGACCTATGCACCACTTAAATCCCACATACGCTGGACTTAAGAGGTACACGGGCTTTGTATTTGCCCCCTGCACAAAGATTTATTTTATGCTAGGTACATTTTTTTAATTGTACAGATCCCTAATATTAGAATGACCTGAAATTCTTGCTCCTTAGTTCACCAAACAAGATGATTCTTTCTGTCTCTGGAGAGTAGGGTCCAAATTTGCTCACAGTTTTGGCTGCAGGAAATTCACCATTATACCACAGATTTGGTAGGTATATCTCAGGAAGGGAGAGAATATGAAATTCTTCTCCCCGTCCCACACTGACTTCTTTTCAGCTGATTCCTCTAGGCAGTTGAGGAGAAGAGTGATATTCAACACTCGTGCCGGCAGCTGCTCCACTACAAGAATGGACTATTTCAGCTAAATCATCGTCCTAATAATGCTTCATACCTATTACTCTTCTCTTTTGAAAGAAAATGTAGGACAACTTTTTGCCTCAAGATTGCATTTCAGTAGAAAACACAAGATGAAGAGAATTGATTGTTTGCTTGTGATCTGAACTCGGATAAAAGCCTAAAGCTGTTTTGATGAGACTAATCTGTTTCTACTGAGGATAAATGAACACACTGTAATGCATCAAGAGGCTTCTGTATTCAGTTCCTCAAAAGATCTTTGACTGTATAAGTAAAGCCTTATCTCTGTTGCAACTGATCTGTTCCCCTTCTGTTCTAGTGTTATGCTTTTTGAGCACTATTATTTGTGAAAGGATTTTGCTTCACTTTTCACTTGATCTGTTCTATTCTTACGCTGTTTTGTTTAATACACAGAACTGTTGTGTATCCTTTGGGGGAAAACGTTTGGCAGAGAAGAATTTAGCATGTGTTGACAAATACCAGTTTTGAGGATATTGCTTTGAAGATATGTGGATTGTATCTTATCACATTTTATGTAGGTTAATTGTATTTTTGGGTTGATCATCCTTCTCCCATGAAAAAAATCACATGGAAGGCAAACAGAATGATCACACTTCCAAAGCTCTGAAGCTGTGGAATATCTGAGACAGAAGGGTTTGCAAGCGCTTGAGGGAGCAAGAGGAATAGACCCCTAAATGTATGGATATTGTGAGATCGACAGCTGGATCTGTGGCTATTCTATTATCTGTGTGAAGAGTAAGTCCCTGGATACTATCTCCCTTCCTCCACCCCCCCACTCCCGGCTCACAGACACAGTGCTGCCATTGGCTGCCTGCTCTGCCCCTTCCAATTCCACTGAAATACAAGTACAAGATACCTTCCTTATTGCACAACTTCCGCTCTTAAGAAAGGAAGGTAAAGTATTCCTGAATATATCAAGTACAATTCAGATCAACCTTTATTAGAAGAACTTGATTAAGCAACTCATTTTTGTTGACTGGTTGAGAGGTCTGTTAAAAACAAGTTTTGCTGTTGGTGGTGGTTTTTCCCCCCCCTCTTTTTGAGTATTGATGTCTAGCAAGATATCCATGCTAATGGATAGAACACTTGGAAGAACTGAGTGGTGACTCAGTGTCAGATGTAGGACCTGAAACTAATATGAGCTCCTTTTCTGAAATGGTCTAGATCACAGGTTGATGGTGTTCATTTAATTATAGAGCTTCAAGCAATGAGAATTGGTATTTTTACCTGCTTTTTGCTGGAGCTCTTAGCACAATGGGATCTTTATCCTGATTAGGGCCTTTGAGGCCAATGCAGTAGAAATAACAACTGCAGTTATAGACCTTTACATTCACTTTCCCTCTAGACAGCAAATAAAAATTCAGTGAAACTAAGAAATATAAAAGTGGTGAGATATGTCTGCACATGACATACTGGTGTTTGCATTGCTTTATGAAAGATCTTTGTGTCTTTGAGACTGCATAGCTCTGGAGATGGGGTGGTTACTAAGGTAACAGGTTTTTTGGTTTGTTTGTTTGTTTTTGTAATAAAACAAACTGATGTGTAAAACCTGTGTAAATTGTCAGTGGTACAGCAAATGTTTGCTCATCTAGTCTCCATGGTCCTCAGTTTATTGGTCTTAGTCTACCTGATTGCGTCCTCTCTCTCTTCTTTATTATCTTGCTTGCCTGCCTATGGCATATAAAACCTGCTTTAATTAATTAGAACCACTGTTACATCTATATTTAGAATATTTCCCTGTCCTTGTCCTATTTAAATCTAAGGCTCTTGCTCTAATTTTCTGTTTTTGCTGTGTCTGATTTTATGAGGATGATTTTCATAATGTTTCTGTTGAGTTGCTGAAAATGTTTAAATAATTTATGATGAAATAATGGGAAAATGCCCTGAGTCCCTCGCAGGAGGGAATAAAACTGGGGACATATTTGATAAATAATAGTAATGATAATATAAATTATTTTATTATTACTTTTATTAAATTTGGATCCTCCTCCTTGAGGGAGGAAAAATCATTTAATAAATCATGGAAATCATAACAGTGGCACAAATATGTACTCCCTGTGCATCCAAAGCCCCCATTATGATCATTTCTTAGACTATAATCACTCACAGATATCCTCCCTCAGAACTGGGCACTGTATAAACACAGAAGCAGATATAATCACTTCCTCAAAGAGCTACACACTATTGATGTTAATAGGAGTTTTGGGAGTTAGGGAGGCCTCAATTCTGCAAGGTACTGAGCATTCTGGACCTGATCCAGTAAGGTATTTAAGCACATGAATAGTCCCCCGGATATCACCCCTTGTCTTCAGGTTCATGTGAAAGTCTGAACTTTTACCTACACCAGGGTCTGCATTTGTCCATTGCATAGGAATCTTCTTAGGAGTATATTTGTAAAAAGAAAACAATTGACTTCTAGGGATTTGTTCTCCGAAGATATACATCCAAATGGATTACCACTGCCGCCTACACTTCTCCCCTCAGACTTCTTGTATATTTTTAAAGCTATTGCTCTTGTGCTTAAAGGATAAGTACAAGCTTAAGTGCTCTGTTGGAGCAAAGCCAGAGTGCTCAGCACCTGTGGGACTGAGGTAAGAATGCAGGATGTTTGGTAAGGAAGCAGAAGAAACGATGCATTCTATTTATTTTTGCAAGTACAATTATCATGTCATCAAGCAACTTGATTTTACAGAGGTCCTTAAAGGATATAAATCCTGAAGTGTGTAAATAGTGTGTACACACTGGACCTAATCCTGATCTCACCCATTCACACCAGTGTGAGTTGGAGAAGTCAGTTCTGATTTACTCCAGAGTGATGGAGAACAGAATCTAGCTCATTACTCTTCATAAAATAGTTTGCTCTTTAGTAATTTATCATCAAATGAGACACTTTTAGACCTTTTTAGACTTACATTGTTTCACTACAAAAGAGTCTGTGAAGCGAGCTGCCTCATTTCAATGGGAACTCTGGGGCCCTTGTGCCTCAGGCTGACCCAATAGGTCTCGTTCTCCATTACCTTTCCCCTTATGTAGTTAGTTACACCCATGTAGAGTGGGTATAAAATGCTACTAGAGCTCAATGATACTATGTCATACTCACTTTGCACTTACTATGCACACGTATGACTGCACAAGGCAGGAAAGAATCAGGCATAATGTCTCTAGCAGTAGAGGGGACTGATGCACCTGTCTCAAGACCCAGGAACTACCAGTGTCATCTCTTTCTCATACCACATTCCTCCCTTCCCTCAACCCTCTACCAAATCAGCAGTATTAACACTAGCGTGGAAGAGTCCTGAGTACTACAACTGACCAGTCCCAATGGTCAGCCCCAACTGACCAGTATCACTATGACCCAGCCCCAATGCAGTTGCATAAGAGGGGGGATGCATCTTCCTCAGCATGGGTGTTCCAATATAGTGTCCCTTTCATTCACGTCTTTCACAAACAGCATATCTAAAGAATATGGGATTAGAATTACTTACCAGCAACAACCTTATCTATGGCCCAAATTTTTGTCCTGTAGGCAAAATAGTGAGTGTTGCAGTCCATGGGTTGTAGTAGCATTTGCACCTGCAACATCCTGCAGAAGTTCCCCTGTGCAGGGATTTAGGCCAGTGGATCCATGAGACTATGATAATGCAATTTACTAGAAGAAGTTTGCATTCAATACTGAGGTTATTTTGGTATGGCCTTAGACCTGAAGAATGTTGTACTCTGGAAAAACTCCCATTGGCCTCAGTAGGAGTTTTGCCAGGGTAAGAATGATAGAATTCAGCCTGATTCACATAGTTAAGAAAGTTAAGGACTTTTTGTTAACAATGACTGTGTCTATACTCTAATGTTATTGGATGGTTATAGGATGTGGAGCCAAAGAATATTCTTCATCTATTTCTTCGAAAAGAATCTACACAGCAAGACGAGGGTTTGCCATTAACTGTGCCAGCATGCTGTGTGTGATTTGTTTTAGGCGTGTTTGATGGTATTGTTCTATTCATCCATTGTGCTTGTATATTCTGTTTTTGTGTGTGTGATATCTGACATTGACTTATTTTGATGCAATACGATGATCACCCTTTAGTAGAGTAGGTTCTCTAAACAGTGGTCTGCATTGTTTTAATGTTAGTGTAGAATAAAATGCAGACTTCTATGTTCTCCATTCTAATATTGCTTTTTCACTGCTGTCAAAAATAGCAAGCAAATATTTATTGCTTACATTTTTATATGCACAATATAGAGCAGTTTTTTCTTTGTAATACTCTTAGTATTTGCTCAAATTTCACATTTAAAAGAAAGTAAAAACAAAATTAAAATCGATGACTATGCCGCTCTTTTTCAAATGACTATTTACAATTTGAAATATTGGGTTATATTTCATATCTAATTGCATCAGAATAAGACTTTGTTTCTATCCTTCACAGTGTTTGACTAAACAATCCACATTATTGTTGAGCGTGTCTTGTCACTTTGAGGACTATAGAAGCACCTTGAACCCTATTGTATTAGCACTATACAGTTAAGTTAATGTATACCAGTAAATATCAAGTGTTTAGATGTTCCATAATTAATTCCATACTTGTACCACAGTTGAGAGTTAGAAGTCATGATACATCCCATATGAAAAACTTTTACAGATTGAGAGATATATCTTTATTATAATTGAATATGGAGAAAAAATAGTGAAGTAGCTCACTGAAATAAGAGTGTGATGGTATCACTCTTTTGGGAACACTGAGAAACTTAAATAGGGTGCAGAACAAAAAAATTGAGTTTGGGGGAAGGTGGAGAATAACTATTATTTTGTTGTCCTAATATTGTCCTGATATTTGGGATTGTTTCCCTTAGGTATTTATGAAGGTTAAAGGATATAAACCTCTTTGGTGATTATGGGGTGGGGACCAGGTATTTAGGATGAGATTTTTCAAAGGCACAAATATGGGTTATGGGCCTAAATCTCATTGAAAGTCAATGAGATGTGAGTTCCTAAATCTCATTTGTGCTTTTGAAAATTTCCCCCATAAAGGTCAGGGAAAATCCACATTAATGACATATAATACTGTAGTCACAAATAGTGGAAATTCAACCCAACTGCTGTAATAGGCAGTGCAGGCAGTGACACCTGTAATTAAGGTTGCCATACACTTTCCATAAAAGCTTGTTTTCAGCTGCTTATAACTTGCCAACCTTAAACTGTTTGGGCTGAAATGGTGCATTTCTACCTCAGGCAGAATTTTGGAAAGTTTCATCTGAAGTGGTTCATCCATTCCTGAGAGTTGGGGAAAATATGATTTGCCCAGGTTAAAAATATTCTTAAAATTGCTTCATTGATAAGAACCAGCACCTCTATACTTTGGAGCAGAGACTTGATATTTTGTGGGGCAGCTCACCATGGTGTCAGGGAAGTGCCTTTTGCAATTTCTGTGAAAATTTGCCCAGATTTGACCAAGTTATAAACCTCTGACAAGTTTCACATGCTTGGTAGAGACTTCTTAGAATTTAGCAGCTATGTTTTTGAAGATTCTATCTCAGCTGAATATGCTCCATCCCCTCACAGTTCCTAAATGTTGACCAGACTGCGGGTGCCATCCCTACAGAGTGACCGAGTATGTTCCAGGTCACGTCTGCAGGAGCTGAGCAGGACTTTCCCTGCAATTACTCTTCCCAGATACTGGGGCATTCTGTGGTGCTGTTTAGCAAATAGCTGTGAAACCCGCAAAGTGTGAATCTCCATTCCTGTCTAGTGGCAGGCCCACATAGAAGATAACAGCCTTCTACTATAACTAGTTATTCCCTTTGCTCAAGTGGTGTCCAGTGGATCTAAAGATCCCCATCCTGCTGAAGACTATGTATGGGTCAATATGGTTTCACAAGATGAAATTATTGTTTTTTCTACATTTACATTTTTTTAAAAGTTAGGAAATTGCATCCCAAAATACTATGTTAATTTAAAATTAAGGTTGGAAAGTCAAGCACTCAGAATTAAGAAAATAGTCAAATTAAGGCTGCCCACGTAATCTTAATTCAGCCCTCTTTAACATATGCTTTATGATAGTATCTGAACACGTAGTTAAAGCCTATTTTTTTTCTACAGGACCCCTCCCTTATTCAGTGCCCAGGATGGTTTTTACTCTGGGAATGAATCAGGCTGTAGGACCAAAGCCTCATTTGTTGCAGAAGTTGGAAGGTGTGTTCTGAATGAATAAGGGGATTGTAGGAAGAGAAAGGACAGTCTAATGGCTAAAACAGTTGAATGGCACCCTGGAGAACTGTCTTCTCTCTGCTTTTGTCAGAGAATTCCTGTGTGCTACTGGGAAAATCACTTAAACCAAAATTTTCACAGGTGTGGTCTCTGATTGTTTATTCTTCATTTTCTGGGTGCCTGACTTGAGACACTGGGGTCTGATCTGTGGAAGTGTTGAGCATTCACAACTGTATCTGAGGGCAATGGGTGCTAGGAAATGCTACATGCTATGAAACATATGACCCTAATTATCTCAAATAGGGCATCCCAAATTAGTTGACAAGTTTGGCTTTAATTCTATGCCTCCATTTCCATGTATAAAAAATTAATACCACCTTCCCTTACATGGGTGTTGTGAAGATAAATTCATTAATATTGTAAAATGCTAAGATGACAGCACCTCAGAAAAACCTAGGAGGGAACTAATAATTCTGTATTCAGTGCAGGGTTTGGATGGTGTGCAGTGAATAATGAATGCGGCCACACACTGAATAACAAGGATTTTTTTAAAAAAAATTGACAATACCATCCATCCTGTGCAGTGAATGAGTCAGATATCCTGTGGAAAAAGTAGTATATGATCATGTAATTAAAGCCTTTGGCATATGCCAATGCACAAGGGGGTCAAATTAAGTTTGCAGAGGCAGCCTTATTTCTGTCTTTTTCTGACTATGAAGTGCTTGATTTTGCAAACTTAACAGTTTTTAATGTAGGTTTCTGGATGTCATAAATGTTACATGTATGTGATCATACAAAGTGTGTTAGTGCTCATTTAATAATATTGTCTTGACATTATTATTAGAAATGCATTTAATATATGTGATAAGAAAATGAACACCAAACACAAGGGAGGAAACTTAGGTATCAGAACAGATGAATCACAAATGTGTATTTTTATACAAACTGCTTGGGAGGGATTAAACTGCTATATAAATTAAATAACATTTTAAGTATTAAAGAATCTACATATGCTAAATGATGTACTTCTTAAGTGTGAATTGCTGACAGGAAATTACAAATGTCTCCTTTTTTACCTCCATCCATCCATCCATTACATTGACCTGGGTTGTAAATGAGAAGAAAAGTTTCCCCTAAATGAAGACATAATGGATCACAGTCATCCCTGGTGTAACTCTGTAGACATCAGTGGAGTTATAACATGAATTAATTTGGCCCATTGAGTCTTATTTTGTTGCTTATGATGCTTTCTTTGTCAAGATGAATGTCTATTGCTACAATTACAATAAATAAATCTGGTATTTAGCAAACTTGTATTTGCCACTCAGTGTTTGAAGGATCAGGTAACCTTTCAGGTCAGAAAGTTGAGGTACTGGTAATAATTCAGAAACCTACATTGTTAGATTCCAGTAAGTAATTCAGAAAATTATGAATACAGTTCCCACAGGAAGCAACAGCATACCTCAGGTACAGATGTAAGATTTCCATCTGAGTCTGTAATCGCTCACTCCAAAGAGGAATTTCCTCTAATCCATGAACTGTATTACTTGTTACTGAATATATGTATTTATTGGTATCAAGGAACTGCTTTTTAACCCTTGAACGCGGAAACATTAAACAGGATTCCTAACTTGCTCCAGTGCAGACAATGTAGGGGCATTTTCCTCAAAATTACAAAGACAGACACAGGTTTTCCTGTTCAGTTCCACATTTACACTCTGAAATACTCACTTACATCATTGGCAAAGGATAACATAAATGAAAATCACACTGGCATAAAAAGTTTAGAAGATTTGCACACCTTCTATCACACCTTCCATCAAAGATCTTAAAGCACTTTACAAACACTGAATATAGCCTCACAGCACTTCTGTGGGAAAGGGAGGTGTTGTTCTCCCTATTTTGCAGAGGGAACATGTTTAGAGTAGCAGCCACCTTTCAAAAAGTGGATACTAATATTGGGTACCTCCAGTTTGAGACAGAAGGCATCTCAAAATGAGCATCCCAAAAAGGTACCCACAATCATTGCTCACTTCTGCAAATTCTGCTTTAGAGACTTTCTTAAGTTCACATAAGAGGTCTGTAACAGATGTAGGAATGGAACCCATGTCTTCTGACTTTCAGAACTTTGCCTTAAATCCTGACCACATTGCCTTGTTAGCTAATAGTCCATTAAAAAGCCCTGCTTGTAAAAAATATAAGAATTCTGTTTTGAGAATCTAAACTATTTCCAGTGGGTACTGTATTCTATACAGAATGGCTTTTGTTTTCCCCTGAAGTTCTTGAATGTGTATGCTGGTATAGTCCTCAGGAATGCTAACATTTTGCTGTTAGAAATACTGTATCACCATATTCTTATCACATCACCAGATGCTTGTTTTTATGGTTGATTATTGCCTGTACAGCTTGTCATGCTCTAACAATGATTTCACTCTTTCACATTGTTCATTGTGAAATGCATGAAATGTGTCTGGAGCATTGTGGGTCAGATTCACTGGAGCACATTGTTTTCATTTAAGAAGTAGAAGTTTGAGCATTGGCAGAGACTTTATGTCCTTCATTCAAACCTTCTTATGTTTACAGATACTTCCCCCCAAAATGCAGCCTCCCCCACCCCCCGCCCAGCCTTACATCCGATGTGTGCAGATGTAAAGTAGAGGTCAAAAATATTGCCCCCTATACGCCACCAAGATATTTCCAGAACTGGTTTATCCAGTCTGTTCTGGCTGTATATTTATATATTTCTTAGCATTAAGATACATTAAATATATTGCTTATGTTGAAACAGTTTTCAGGTGGAAGCAGCAGAATGTATGTCTGGGTCATTGGTGTACTTTTTTTTTTTTTTAAGATATTGGTTTCTCAGTAAGATTAAGTTTTCCATCCATGAATTAGTTTATGGCAAGAATGAATATTAGGAAGGATGGTGTGTCCAGGTCTTCTTTTACATCTCCGATATGTCTAATAGCAGAGGGCCATAGAATGGAAATTCTATTCCCAATGCCTTGCCACTTTATTTTTCTGCTATGCAGTTTTCCTTCTGGAAATATTTTTGGTTCAGATTCTAGGGGGAAAATGCATATATATTTTTTCAAAGTATTGCTGAATGTGCAATCCCCAAAGTCGTTGGGGCAGATCCTCAGCTGAAGTAAATTGTCATAGTTCCATTGATATCAATGGAGCTATACCAATTTACATCAGCTGAGGATCTGTCCAACGTTGTATTAATTATATTCAAAGATATCTATTTCAGCAGTTCTCACTCAGAGGTCCATGTGTACAGCGTATGGGAGAAGATGAAAACTTCTTGACTTAAAAATTTTAGCCTCTGAGGCACCTATTGGGAGGTGTTTTTCACTTGATTAAGTGAAATGAGTCAGCACATTCCCTAAATGTTCATATATCTAAGCTCTCATAAACACAGCCAAGGTAGACCAATTTCTCTGTCACTGGTTTCTCTTCTATTAGACAAGGGGAAACTTGTCCATTTACACCAAAGTCTGAATTTATTCCCAAGAGGAGGATTCCACTAAGACGGGTATCTCTGGAGAAAAGAAAACAAGGTACCTATAATTCTTATCCTCTGAAGCTATACATCCAAATGGATTGCTCATCACCCAAACTTCTCCAATCAGATTTTTTGTATATTTTTCCATATATATTTTGCTGGGCCTCTTTGGGGGTGGGGAGGAGTTACCATCTCCAAGTTTTTAAAGGAACTGATAATGGAACGTGATAGTGCTTCCAAAAATACCTAACCGAGTGGTCCATGAGGTACAGCAGCTGCCTCCAAACATAAAAGCTATGGGAGCTCCCCCAGGTCTTGCACTGGACCCAAGCATGGCAACGTGCATAGATGCATATCTTCAGAGAACAAGATTTACAGATAAGTAGCTTTCTTTTCAATGTCTGAGTGACTTCCTTGAGTACCCTAAACACATGTTTTATCAGAGGGAGTGCTTGGGTGCACAAGTAATAACAGGATCAAGTTTATAGAAGGATTTGTCTTCACTAATATAATTAATATTTGCTCATTGAAGCAGAGGGAGAAAAACAGTTTCCTACGGAACATTATCTTTATAGTTCGTAAAAAGTGATCCAGAACCCTTTGACATTTCACTAGTTTTTAGAGTTTTTTAGGAGCCCTCCATTCAATGTATAATGGCTATAGGTAGGCTGTATTTTACCAAATTGTGTAGACCAAGCTTTGTTGATTTAGGCTAGGATTTTCAAAGGACCCTAAGGGATATTCAGTGAGAGTTGGAAGCTCCTTTGGAAATGCCACATCTTGAGTCTTAATCCTGAACTCCTTATTCAGGCAAAAGCATCTTGCAAGCCAATGGCAGTTTTTGCCTAAAAGAGACATTCAGGACTAACATGCTGTTGACAGCCATTAGTAAGCTGGGATCTGTTTATCACTGAAACCCTTAAAATCTCTTTTATTGTAACTATTGTCTATATTCATTTTGCTTTCGCAGTCCTCCACAAGCAGCCCAGAGAAGTGTGCCTTTGTTTGCTGGAACTTGGAAGGATTGCAGCCAGGTAGGTGAAAATATTTAGAGAATTAAAAAATATTTACATTTTGACAGCAGTGGCTACTGAGAGACTTACTATCTCAGTGCATCTTCATGTTTAACATTTACACTGGCCAGGGTCAAGGCAAACACCCACTGATAGTTACACAAGAACGTCTTGTGGGCAGTTGTTCAAACAATATAATCAAACTTCCCTTAATATAGCAATAAGATTTTTCTGCTGTCTTCATACTACAAGGAGGATCTTGGGGCAAACTGATATGAAAAGAAGTTTAACAACTTTACTTAAAAAAATCCTGTTCTAATTTTAAATTCTTACTCCTTATAATCATGTTGTCTCTGTAAATAATCAAAACTCGTTTCTCTCTAAATCTTCTATATTAGCATCTAACCCTGATCCCACTGAAGTCAATTAAAGTGTTCCCACTGACATCAGTGGGGGTAGAATCTGCCTTCAGATAACCCAGATCTGATTTTATTTACTCTGGCTGTAACCTCATTGACTTCAGTGGCGTTATTCCTGATTTGCACCAATCTAAGATAAGAATCAAGCTCAGAAATTGAATCTTCCTCTGTTGGATGTTTATGGCCAGACATGGTACTCAAGAAAGGTTTCAACAGTCTCTGCTACTAGGAGAGCTATTGCTCTTGCTAGTTTCAGTCTATGTTTTATTCTTAGAGTTCATATTGTGATATTCTTACATAGTCACAGTGAACTGTAGTCCCTTACATGAAATCAAAGGGGCTACTTTTGGAGTAAGGTATTTTCAATGTTAGTAAGGATGTCACAAGCTAGTCCTAGGGCATTATAACTCAACAAGGTATTATTCTTTGTTTTTAAGAAAAAGTTTGCTTTAAATGCATTCATATCTTGGGAAGCAACTTCACTAAATTGTTCCCTCTCAAAACTTAAGTTCCCTCACTTAAGTTTGTATATCCTGGGTTTTCCCATTTGTACTCTTTCCAGGGCCGGCCCAGAACATTTTGGCACCTGAGGCAGGAAGCTCAAATGATGGCTCCATGCTTTGGGCCAAAACTTTGAAAGGTCTCACTTCTGCCTTCTCCTGTTCTACTCCTCTCATGGTACTGCTCTGCTACCTACCTCAATAAAGGAGAACTAACACTTAAAATTTTTGAACAAGGCATTTTAAGTTAACACTTAACTTTCAAATGCCTGAACAGCAAATGGAACTTTTCTTGTCTGCATAGTAAACACTGACATTTTTATCTGTTTGAATAATCAAGTTGTGCTTTCCATGTCTTCTTGGTTGCAAAGATTTGAACTGCTTCCTGAAGCTCCACAATCTGGGCCATCTCATGCTCTATTGAGATGGTTGCAAGGCCAACCAGCCTCTCCTATGTCATTGTGGAGCGTAGATGTGTTTATATTAACTTCAGCTTGGAGAAGCTGCATTCTCCACTGGCAACTGTTACAGGAAGTGTTAGAAGTATGTGCAGAGCAACAAAAGCATTTGGAAAGAGGGTGGTCATCTTATTTGTGAACCTATATTCCAGAACAGCCTTTGGAGTTGATCCTGCTGAAATGTATCTTGAAAGGGCTTTCAGTTCATCACTTAAATCACTCGCATCAATATCATGCATGTCATCATTTGTCAACACTGTCTCTAGTGCCCTGCATTGCTGGTGTAGGTCTTCAGGTACAGTGAGGAGTTTTGGAATATCATACAACATCCCAAATATACTGCTATGTTCCTTAAGCTTTATGAAACGTTCAACTGACTGTATTGCACAATCTAGCACCTGGTTAAAGAATTCAACTTTGAATTGTTGTTTGGGGGTCTCTTATGGGATTATCCCGTGCCTCGTAATCAAAATGTCTTCTTCTTCGGTGACTCTTGTATTCTTGAATGGGTGGGAAAATAGCTTCAGTGTGAAGTCCTCTGTCAACTTCTGTGCACTCTTCAGAACGTTTTGAAATCCCTCATCTGACCGGTAAGACTGTAGGTATGACTTTGCTTTGTCCAGTTGTTCCATTGCTCCAGATATATCAAGGACAACACCTTGGAGTCTCTTGCTTACCACATTTATTTCAAACAGTATGTCATGCCACAACACTAAGCCACACAGAAATTTGAAGTTATGTATGTTTCTGGTGATTCCATTTCCCTCTGCCACTGTTTTGCCCCGAACAGTTCCTATCATAGCATTATCCTCATAATGGCAACTATGGCATCATCTGTCTTCCCAAGTTGGTGTTTGATAGGCTTTATCACCTCCACTCGACTTTCCCCATTGTGTGGCACTCAGTGGTTACGGTGTCAGAGAGGGTGTTCCCAGATGTTGCTTCAAAATTTGCCATCAATGAGTTGATGCAAAGAATAATACATAGATGCTTTGAATTACATTAAAAAATTCAGCAACCTCACTAGAAGCTGATGCTGCATCACTGAACACCAAGTTCAATGAATGAGAACTGCATGGGACAAAAAAAGCTTGAGGGTTTAACTCTCAGATCCGTGTCTGCACTCCTCTGTTCTTTCCTCTCATGTTGGCACCATTATCGTAGCCCTGACCTCTCATGTCAGCTATCACAATTCCCATATCTTCCAGCTTTTTAAGAAGCACATTTGTCATACCAGCTCCTGTAGTATCACCAATGTCAATAAATTATAGAAAATGCTCTGACAGTCACCATTGCAGAGACATTTTCACTACGTTCTGTTGTTGTTAGAAAACACACCATTAAAGTAATTTGTTCTATATGGCAGATGTCAGGTGTGCAGTCCAGAACAACAGAGTAATATCTTGCTGACTTCAGATCTGCCACAATCTTCTGTTTGACTTTTGTTGCCAGTAACTATATGATCTCATTTTGAATTGTTTTTCCAAGGTAGTGGTGTGTGTACATTTCTGGGGTGGTGACTTTTCTTAGATGCTCCTGGAGTACGGTATCAAACTCAGACATCAGCTCCATAATTTTAAGGAAGTTTCCATTGTTTGGCACAGCCAGCTTATCTGAAGTGCCACACAGAGCTAGGTTTTGGGTAGCAAGCATTCTCACAATGGCAATGAGCCTTTTCAGTCCATTTTGCCAGTAAAGAGACTCTGATGCAATCTTCTCTTGATGCTGATCATCTATGGTGGCCTTTAACCTTAGTCTCATCTCAAGCTCTTTCCACCTATGGAATGCTCTCTGGTGATTTCCTGCCTTCTCATGGCATGCCAGATTTCTAGCCAGATTTTTCCAGTCCTTTGTTCCTGTAGAATCCAATGTGGCTGGAACATTAGACTGGAAGAGTTTGCAACAAAAATAGTATGCAGCATTCTGGGTTTTTGAGTACATAAGCCATGGCCTCCCCACTTTGTCACCATTGGGGATTTCACGCCAGTAATGTGTTGGATGGAAACTTCTATTTTCATTGTCTTTGGGGAACAAAGTTTTTCACTTGCTGTGGCCCATGCAGTACAAGGAAGTCCCTCAGGCTACTGCTCAAGTGGGTCCACAGTCCTGGATCATCTCAACTTAAAGAACTAAACTCAGCAGCAGCTTTTTCTTGCGCCTCTACCACACTCTTCTCTGATCTACACTTTTCTTCAGGAACGTGCATGGTTACATCCATTTGAGAGGGAGATATGGATGCCGCAGTCACTGCAAGGTCACCTGCACTCTGACTAACTGGAAGATCAGGCATCTCCTCACCACTCACATCCTCACTGGGGCCGGAAGGCTCACTGTGAACATTTGTGTCTATGTATCTCAGGAGTGCTCCTTCCTGCTTAGATAGAAAACCTTCCTTTGCTTTCTTTCTTTTTCCGAATGCTGCCCCAGGGGGCGTTTTCTTCTTTAACTCATGACTGCTGTTCTGTGCCAGCTATAGTGGCTCTCAACACTCAATTGAAGGGGACAAATAAGCAGGCTGGTAGCAGGGCCTTAGTGAGGGAAGATATCAGCCTCTTAAGGGCCTAACTAGCTCTTACTAGTTCAGTTGACTGCCTGTTCCCCTCAAGTGGGTTCAGAGAAGCAGCAGGAAACAGGAAGCTCCCTGAGAAGCTGGTGTTAATCAGTCCAGGCTCCTGGGGGTGCTAATGAGGTACATAAGAGGCTCCTCCTTCTCTCTCTCCCTGCAGCTCCTGCTGCTTTCTGTTATTCCCTCTCACCTTTTCTCCTGCCTGCCTGTTATGTCTCTTGTGCCCTCCTTCCTCCAGCACAGCACTCCACCATCTCTGTGCATCTACAGCAGAGAGAATACACATGCACCAGCAGCAGATACAATTTTCTACACTCTGGGTCCTAGAGGAGCCTGCCCCCCTGCCCCATAGTCTGGCACCTGAGGCGGCCTCCTCAGTTCACCTCATGGTAAGGCCAGCCCTGACTCTTTCATAGCAGGGTATCCCTTAGGTGTAAAAACCAAATTCCAGGCCATATAGTGCTATCACTTATTAAGCACAACTTCACTTTTTTTTTTTAAATGACTATGCCTGTTTATTTTGGTTTATAAAAGATACCCTCCATTTCATCATTCCATGCAGTCAATGGGAATTTAATGTTAAAAAAAAAAAAGTATCAAGATACGGTGTAAAGAGAGTCTCTCTCTGCAGTCTCCCTTTAATACAGGCCACAACCTCCTAATCCTTGCAGTGGACCCCACCTTGTGGGCCTGCTTACTTTGTTTACGGGGGGGGGGGGGGAAACAAAAGTTCAGATTCAACACAAAATAAGGCCCTTCCCGGGATCCATAAAAAAGCAGAAATGTTCATGGCACCACCTTACTTCAGGGGTACTTACTTTGTTGGAGTCCTTAGAGCTGGGTAGCCAAACCAGTCTTTCCCAATCAGGGTTGCCCCTGACTCTGGACTCCTCACAGAGCTGGGGGAGTTTCTTGCATGATGGTTACTCCTGCTGCACAGGAGCCACTCCTTTCTCAGGGCTTCCTCCCCTGCTGACTGCAGCTCCCTCCTTTTTAAAGCCCTGCTCCCTACCATGCATGATTGCCAGGGCTGGAAAGGTGAGGCTACTTTAGCACACAGAGCCTCCCAAGCCCCTTCCCTTTCAGTGCGGGGTTTATATACCCTGTCACATATGGCTCATATTTTAACCAACTTGGGAGCAGAATAACAGGCAACTCCTTCTTCCCGTTTTGACTTGTTTCTTTTCCTCCCCCCCTAAAAAATCCTATCCCAATATGGGATTTGCAAACTCTCCACAGCCTAGTAAGTTTTCAAGGTGCACAGAAAATGCTGGAAGGGGTAACATAACAGGGTTATATCATTTAAATGACAAGTATCTAATGGCGTTCTTGCTTTAAGTGTGCTAAAATCTGAGCTATGTGGGAGACGAGTGATGTGAATAGACTCTGTGTTTTGTATGTTGGCTGGATTTAAAAAAGAAAAAAGCATTCTAATAAACTGATCTCTGCTATAGCTATTGCTTTAAATTACCCATGAGGAACAATAAGATGTTAAACAGACATCTTTTTTGATTTTCAAAGCACTGTTCACCCTGAAGATCGAACTAACTGTACTAAAAGTCTGTGGGGCCTGCTTTTCAGAACAGGAATCTCAAAGATATAACATTAAAAAGGAGTTTCTACAGAGTCCTAAGGAATTAGGAAAGGAAGAGGCGCTGAGCAGTTATAAATACATTTTTCTTCCTCCTCCAAAAGCACAAGGAGGTGTTTGGGGAGATCATCATTAAAAGTCACCTATGGAATTCTCAAAACAATTTTCTCAGATTTCAGTGTTTAGGGCCTGATTGAACTCCCAGTCAAGCCAATTTGAATATGTCCACTGATTTGAATGGGAGTTGGATCAGGCCTTTACTGAGTGATAGATAGTACGGATGGTTTTGGGGTGGGTGGGGGACGAAAACCTTCCTATCACCCTATTAAACTGGCCTTCTTTCTAGAAACAAACCTTTTAAGGTTCTGTAAAGACTAGAGACTTTTTTTTTCCAACGGTAACTGGAATATAGAGGAAATAGAGAGAAAAAAATCAGATTTCATTTAAAGAGGTGTAAATTTAGAGTAACTATTGACATCAGTATAATTACTCCAGACCATAATTGACAGCTGAATTTGTCTGCGGGAATTTCTCAGGAGATTTTCAGATTACTTATTTTGCTGACCAAGGGTCTGATTCCCCTTTTGCTTACATCAGTGTAACTCCATTGACTTCAGTGGAGCTACACTACTTTATATCTGTATTACTGAGAAGAGAAGCAGGTCCTAATCCAGGAGAGAGAGCCATTAAACTGCCTGACTTTTTTGATTTCTTATCAAAACAGAACCCGAACATTGGGCCATGTTGTGTCTTGGTAGCCTACAATGAGGGCAGAGCAAAGTCAGCCTTTTCCAGACAAAGGGTAGGCACAATCTGTCCTCTTCTAGTTTGCGCATCACTATCAGGTACATGTCATTGTGTAGGTGCTACCATTTAACTCACCATACATTATGGAAGCCTTCATTATTAGCAAACCATCTAAATAGTTTTCAGCGTGTTTATATTAGTGATATGTGCGCAGAGAGCTAGGCTAATACTGTACACCCACTCAGCAGAAAGATGGACCAACTCGACTTGATTGAGCTTTGTCACCATTTGTACAGAACACATCATCTCGCAAAGAGAGATACTGTTGCAAGTTACTGCTGGAGCTTGCATTTAAATGAACGAAAGTGAAATTTCAAAAATAGTAAAATTTTTGAGGAAATCATCTAAATAAATTAATAAACAAACAAACACCCTGCTGACAGTGGGTTGGTCTTTCATTAGAGAAGAGATTATTTGTATTTCAGGTTCTTGACAGACCTTCAGGGCCTGAGTCTGCTCCCACTGTAGTAATCTGTGGTCCCGATCTTGCAGCCTTTGCTCATGTGAGTAGTTCCAGTTGAAGTGTACTCATGAGACTTAGAAGTGCAAGATTAGGGACAGTGTTAGACAGAGGGTCAGCCCATTATCAGAAATTAAAATCTTGTTCTACATGTAAACAATGGCTAATCAGCTACTGGCCCCAATCAATAACTTTGCTGATTTTTCTCTTTTGTTCATATGATGGAAGTTAAAGCAGGAAACATGAATAAAGTGTATAAGACTCACAGGCTTTTCATTCAATAAATACAATGGGCCAAATTCTGTACTGACTGATCCCACATGAATGGATTGATAGTCCTTGTGAAAGATGGATGAATCCTATGGGGTAAAATGCAGTACTGACTTAGGCTATCCAGTTCCATTGCAATCAGTGGGATTGTGCAGGTCTGATTCATCTTTCACACCTTTGTAAAGTAGGAGTAGCTCCAGTGAAATAGTTGGAATTACACTGAGGTAAAATTGACATAGAGAGCAGAATCAATCTCACCACATGTGTAAATATGTCTTAAAGAATGTTTACATTCTGGAAAGTGAATTAGGTGCAAATATATCTGTGTGCTGCTTTTTTGGTGGTATGACATGCAATAGCTAAGCTTTCTGTTCTACAAAAAGAATTGGAATTCTTCCTACGTGGCTGTAAAACTATTTTTTTTTAAATCAGCCCCCAGATGTTTTTTGTTTGAAAATTATAGTCTGTTGAGAAGTTATATCTTTCTGCTATTGTACTTAATTTTTCCTTGGGAAAAATAGGAAGTGGTGCTCTTAGAAGTCTATCGGAGATCATTTTACAGTCTGATGCTGCTCTATTTGTAGTTATGGAGAAGGCAGGCTAGAAAGGAGTAGAGAAGGAAATTCCCAACATAGTTCTCAGTACAGGGCTTGTACCTTTTTTTGCATGGAAAGCCACTGTGAGAAGAGCAGAAGGATTTCTTTGTCGATTCAACCTTCTAATTAAGCTGTTTGATTGTGATGCAATACACGAAGAATATATGTTTAAATTTAATTTCAGCTGATTAATGGAAAGAAGTTTGTTAAAGTTATCTATAATAATTATACACTGTCTATTGTAATGATAGAAATCAGAGGTGAGTTAGATTCTGAAAAGCAGCAGAAGCAAAGAAGCAGCATTAATGCAAGTGGGAACGGTTTATTTGATGAGTAAGGCCTCATGCAGGTGTAGGCTTAGAGCCCAGGGGGAATTTAATGATTTACAGCATGTCAGCATCTGCAGACAGACAGGAAGTAAATGGATTGTATATAAGTGTTCGCTCCAATGTTGGCTGACTTTTCGTTAGGCAGACTGCACCAGTTAACAGCCAATACAAGCACAGATTTGATTTCTTAGTTTTCTGGGTATTAACTTACCTTGCAGCAGTGTGATTAGCTTGTAATTTGTAATGAAAAATGCAAGGGCCAATATATACACTTATGCCCTTTGCCTATATGACTTTAAGTTCTATGATAATGTTAGTCTTTAATACTTGGTATATTTTTGGTACAGAACTTTAGTGGCTGGGTCATCAGCTGGTGTAAATCAGCATAGTTCTGGATCTGGCCCTAGGGTTTTATATTACACAATACAATATGTATTTTCACTAAAAAATAGGTTTGATGTGAAAACCTATATTTAGCATGGTGGTCTTTAGCTAAAAGGAAATTATCATATAAAAAGATATTTTCTTTTCTTGTTCAGTTCAAAAAGAAAAAGATGGGGTGTAGTTCAGTGGTTAGTTCTGTGAAGTAGGCATCAGGATTCTGGGATTCTGTCTTAACTCTGCTACTCACTCCTTATATGACATTGGCCAAGTAACTTACAACCAAACTTGTAAGAGTAGCCACTGATTTTGGGTGCCTCCATTTTTTGAGTGCCAAACTTGAGACACTTTAAGATTTTCAGGAATTCACTTAAATTGGAACAGTGAGTACTGTGCAGTTTTTAAAAAACAACAACAAACCCCACAGATTCAAAGTTGGACTCCCAAAAATTGAGGTGCACAAAATCAGTGCCCACTCTTGAAAAAATTTGGCCTGAATTTATCTCCATTTACCCATCTGTAAACTGGGCATAATACCTATTACAGCGGGTTATGCTCAGGTTTAACAGATTAATTTTTTCTCATATAGATTTATTGTGAAAACTATTTAAGTTTTCATAATTTCTAGAAAAAGTCTGAGAGAATGATGAAATGCGAAGTAGATGTTCTCTGAACTGAACTCTCATATTAAACAATTTTGGGATGTGTCTATCACATACTGTGGCAGGGCAGGGGTATAAACCCTTTGGATGCCCTGCTAAAGGGGTGGCTCCTCCCCTGCTTCCCGGCAGAGCAGCCGGGTGCAGGGGCCCAGACACTCAGCAAGGAGCTCAGCTGCAGACCCTAACGAGGGCAGGCTCAGGGGAATCAGCTGAGCCAAGTAGAGCCAGCTGAGCTGGTGCCTGGGAGGAGATATAAGCCCAGGGAAAGGCTCAGTGAGGAGGCTAGCCAGGGGAGAAGCCAGAAGACCCAGGAGAGGGTCAGTGTGGGGATCGGTGTTGGAGGAATTGGGGCTGCACTAAGCACTGTAAATAAAGAGACACGGGTGAAACACCTGGAAGAGGGATTGGGACTCTTTCTTTGACCAGCCTAAGCACAGAGCACAGGGACAAGAGGGCGAGAACCTGTGCGCACCTTGTGGCACATACCAAATACCATATCACATATTTATAGATGTTTCTCTAACAAGCTGAAAACTAGTCCATTTGTTGTAAATTTGATTAAATGAGAGATGCTATTTTAATTTCATACTGCATATTTATGATACTGATAGCAGCTACAATAGTATATCATGTATTTATCCCTTCATTAGTGTGTTTAGCAATTCTGTGTTGCACAGCTGTATATGTATGAAGTTTATGCATCATGATCTATTAAAATATGAAAGCACTGGTAATTTGTTTGCATGTTTTCAAAAGGTTTGGTGTGGAACCTCCTGGGTTAATAAAGCTGGAGAAAGAGATTGAACAAGAGGAAATACTTTCAGCTCCTCTTCCGTCTCCTTCACCCTCCCCAACAAAATCTCCAGGGAAAAAGAGCACAGGAAAACTGTTGGATGATGCTGTAAGTGTGCTTGGGCAAGGCTTCTTATCATGAGATATCGACAAAAAAATAGACTAACATCTTCCTGACACATTCTGACATACACAGGACATAAGGGCCTGAGTTTGACATCTCACCACATTTAGAGGTCTAATGACAAGATTTGCAAGAGTCTACAATTAATATCATTTGTGACCACAAATATTTGCAGTTTGGAAAATTTTAGTGGATAATAGGAATCTTCAATTTGGCCCATCTTTGCAGTGCTGAAGTTCTTACTGAGGTCCAGGTCTGGCTGTCATTATTTTTATTTTATTTTATTTTTTTAAACTAGTTGTTGACTGAACTCTCATTTGGTGTTTTTTCTGAGGAAAGACTGAGAGATTTGTCCCTTACTGACTTGTACATATTTCTAACAAAACACTTCTGAGTTATTTGAGCCTCTTTTTATGCTCTCGGTCTGCCTGCCTCTTCTAGCATAAAACAAGTTCAAAACAGATTTTTTTCCTCACTATTACCAGGGAAAATACCTTACTTTACAATCCATTAAGCTCTTTACACGATACTGTAGTGATCATTTCTCAGTTACGCTCCACAAGAGGGGTTTACTTTGAAACAGCTGGAATCAGCTGAAAGAGACATTTTGAGGCAATGAAGAGGTTAACTAGGAAATTACAAATATATTCTATAAAAAGAAACAGTTACTATAGTAACTGCTATATCACATGGTAGATGTGCCACCTGGGAGTTACAAAGCGCTTCTTGAAAAACCTATGTGCCACTTTTGTGTTACAATGAGCAGATGGAATCTAATGTTCATTCTTTTAATGAAAAATGTATTTTTAAAATGTAAATAGGTTACATTTAACTTTTATATTTTGTGTCATCTTTAACTATGCAAACCCACTCATTGCTTCTCTCAGAGGATTGTGGAGAATGCAGGGATGTTTAGAATGGAAGAGATGACTGTATATCTCAGGGGAACAGAGAAGAAAGTATGAAGGCTGTCTCCAGCCATCTTCTTTAATTTAAAATGCAGTAGGGATAGAAAGGGTTGAATTTATCCAGTTAAATTCCTGATCCTCACTGTCCCCACACTATAAACTAATGGCAGCACTCATACAAAGCAGACACAAAAAATAAAACAGGGTTAAATTTTGCCCTCCACTTCCATATTTGATTTTTAAATTCCAGTCAATAATACTTCTATGCGCCTCAGGCAAGTGGGGTTGTGGAGGCAGCAATGGCAAATACAACAGTAAGGGCTCAATTATCCTCTGGTTTGTACCAGATTTACAGTGGTATAAATCAATTGGCTTTGATTCTCCCCAACGCTGAGCTGCTCTGTGCTACTTACCCAGAACAAAGCAACCCTAAAGGTGGCAGACCCAGCTACTGGAGGACTCCCGCTGCTCAGGTGAATCCTTGGCAGCATAGAGTTATCATAACAGGCCCTATACCACCTTTCTGCTGGTTTCTAGTATAAGGAGTGTCACCAGAGGGCATGGTTGGCATGTATCTATGTACAGGCGATCCCTTCCTGTTAGACCCTGGGGCCATGGGCAAGCTGATTTGGGGAGCATTTAGACGATCACTCTGGTATGCAGTCCCAAGATCCGAGGACATATATGTCCAGATATACCTTTTGCAGCTCCTGCAACCTACATTCGGTATGACCCATTGACTTCAGTAGAGTTACTCCTGTTTTAAGCGGATGGTAGAGGTCCTGAATATCTCAAGATTGGTTTGATATTCAACATCCTAGACCTAATACTCTTGATGCCAGTGTGAATGAGAGGAGAATTTCCACTGAAGTCACTGGAATTATTCTGGTGCTAAAACAAATAAGTGACCGGAAAATCAAGCCCAATGACCATTTTTAATGTGTTTAGTGCCAAGTATAATTTCAAGCTATGAAGTAAGTTTCACGACAATATTACTGCACATTTTTGAGTGAGGGTGGAATAATTCCCAGCAATTATTCCACAAGGGAAAAGGCCTGGTCAGATGGGAGCATTGGATCATTTTAGCAACAAGGTGGAAAGCCCTCAAATTAGGTGATAGAGGGTAAGTCAATTTTAAAAGTTCCTCTTCCTGCCCATCAGCTGACAAGATCAATTACAGAAAAATGTTAGTTAACTTGTTCACTTTTTACATCTATCCATATCCCCAATCACCTCCAACAAAAAGAAAGTTCCTTTGACGTGTTGAAATTTTCCCTCAAGTATAAAACCTAAATCCTAAAACCTCCTACTCTGTATAACAGATCTGTTCCTGTATTTTTGTCAGACAACCAAAATACCTAACAGAGCCCCAGTACATGACCCTGGCCTTTTTCCTGTCTAAGAAAGCGTTACTCAAACTTTCATCAGTAAGTTATTCTAACAGCTTTCTTTCTGTTCTCAGTCTCTTTTTATGGGGCCTTAGTTTACAAATTGGATCTGAAAAGGTCTGCTGAGTGTTATGTGAAGTGGACAAAACCTTTGGAAAGTGCGTCCTGCATTTTGTTTCATTTGACATCAATACGTTAGGTCAGCTTTCATCCAAGAGAAGGACAGTATGTGGAAATGATTGCCTTCATGCACTTGTCAGTGTTGTTTCTTAGTGGAAGTGCTACTTGAATGTCAAATTAGAGTTCACTCAACCAGATCTGCTCGTTGACATTGATGGTTATGCTACTTTAAGATCACCTAAAAGTTCAGAATATACATCCACTAAATATTAATGTCACTGGTTTCACATTCAAGGCTGAATTCTCAGTTGGAGCTGAAGTTTGGCTGATGTAAATGAGGAATAGGGCAAAAGTAACTTTCAGCAGCCCTTGTTCATCCCTGATCCCTGGGTTTTGGGGTCCATTTTTTACACCAGTAACTTAGAGAACCCTCAAGGCAACTCTAAATTACACCTGCCGATAACAGCTCCCAATTGACTAATGCAACATCAGGCAACCATGAGAGTGCAGCAGCACATCGTCTACCTCAGCCATGTCCCTGCACTGGTGAACATCTCAGAGCTGAGGCTAGGGGGAACATAAATGGCACCTTTCTCCCTGCAACTCTTCTGAATGGCACTGAGTTTAGCTTGGATCCTGGCTCATGATCAGTGAGCATAGTGTTTTACCCAGGTGTAAACGGATATGCAAGGTGAAGATTGTGGGAAATCAGGTCCTCTATCTCTGAGATAAAGCAGTGTTAATTATATTAGTAGGGAAGCCCTGCTGGAGAAATTACTGGGCAGCTTCCTTTTTGTGTATCAGATATACTCAGGACTCCAATACTTGGACTTCCTTTACTTTTCATCTGAGACTTGTAGGTGGATTTTAATTGTAAATCTACCCTCCAAAAACCAGTAGAGTTCAATTCCATTCACATACCATCAACTTCAGACTGACAAACTTTGGGCTAAGTTGATCACTCAGTTATGTAGTGCAATTCCATAGCAAACTGTGTGTCTGAGAGCATCACCGGCCTCTACTTTATCTTTCCACACCTGGGAATTCCCTTCTGACTTGGGAATCCCCACAACCTTGGATTTCACAGATGCTTTAAAAAACTGCTGCTGTATTTATTTTTCATTTTAATATTTTTAATAAGTAAGAATATAGATTTGTTTAATGTTACCATTTTATGTAATTGAAAATACATGTAGATTTCAAGAAGAAATTATGGCCCAATCCTTGGGCCCATCTGAACTCTGCCCATGACCCAAAGGGAGGACACATCATCTATGTTGTCATTACTGAGTGATGACAGAAGATGCTGATGCAAAAGATCCTTCTGCAGATATTTTAAGATCTATAGGGTCTTTCTTGTGGGTCCCCAGGCTATGTCAGAAACACTGCAGAATGAGAAAAAAACAGTGGCCCTGAAAAAGCTGTGATCACCGATTCGCCCCCCCCCCTTCACATGGCTTAACGTAAGAAGAGAGCCTGTGTTGCTAATATCTGAATGCTATATGAGGTTTATTACTATTTGATTCAAGGCTTTACCTGTACGAGAAGTGCCAAATCCTGAAGTCTTCGTTCAGTTTTTACTCATTCTTAATTCAGCAAAAAACACATTGAATACACTGGGATTGTTCCCTATGGACCACATAGAAATTTAGTATAGATTTCATGATTTTGCCCGTTAGTAGTAGCGATGGTATTGAAATCAATGTCTTAAAAAGTCACTCAATGCCATACTATTAAAAACATTAGAGTTGAGGGAAAAAAGAAGTAAGACAATTTCAGCAATAGCGCCTTAATTAAAAGCCTGAAGAGGTGTTAGGAAGAAGTCATTTGTCATGATGACAGAGAATAAATCAAGGGCATGACATTATGTTAACTACCCTTTTGAACAGTTTGCTGCAGGTACACTCTATTAAAGAGATACAATAATAACTTGTTTTTCAGGTCAAACACATTTCTGAAGATCCTCCTTGTAAATGCCCCAACAAATTCTGTGTGGAGCGTCTTTCACAAGGACGGTACAGAGTTGGAGAGAAGATCCTCTTTATTAGGGTAAAAAGTTTTCATTTTTCATGTTATGCAATGTTCCTTTTGGGGATCACTGATATCTGCCATCTGACAGCAACATTTTTTAATGCTTGGGCTGCTTCTTTCCAGGTTAAAATGGCACCACTGGTTAATGGAAGAAAATATTTTCTTTCTGACAAGTACAGATTCTCATCCACAGCACAATCGGGGAGATATAGTCCACAGGAGGGTGCAGGGGAAGGGGAAAGGGGTAGTTGGGTCGGAGAATTAACAACATGGTAGAGTCTTCTACTTCTAGGTCATTGATTCCATGCTGGCCATGATAAATGGTGACGAAGAATCTTCACAAATAGAGATGATGGTTTCTTATTTCCTGTTGGAATAGTATTCTTGTCGGAAAAGCCATCGTCCCACTTTGTGTTAATTGGTACCCTTCTTGACAGTCTCAGGAGAGAGATCAAAGACTGAATGAGAGTCTAAATTACTCTCCCATCCCTCCGTCCCATGGCTGACGTACATTGGTAGGGTAGCATCAGTAGAAGTCAGTGGGAGTCTTTTTAGACAAATGAAGCCAATTGGAATCTTAGCTTTTGAACCTGCAAGCTAATATTTACTCCCTCACATTCTCAGTCCTGCATTCCTTGAGGTCGCAGTTCAGCAAAACACTAAAGGATATGCTTAACTCTAAGAAGATTTTTAAGTCCCATTGAAGTCAAGTGCATACTTAAGGGCTTTGCTAAATTGGAATGGACTTAAGCATGTGATTAAAGTTAAGCACACATTTAAGTGCATTGCTGAATAGGAGCCTGAAAACCCTTAATTAATTCAAAAGGAGTTCTGAGTCTACGCAAAATGAAAGATTGGGCTACAGATGGACTCTGCAAAGGAATTTTAATGTGATAAAGAAAGGAATTTATGTTTTATTGCCTCTGAAACTTCCTTTTAACTCTACAATATATTTAGGGCACTAAAACGATTACTTTTTAATCAGTTTGTGCAAAAGTTAATGTTAATCAGCCAAAGGCCATAGCTGTGCATTTATGCACCTAATGTATGGGGTTTTATAATTCACATTTCTAGTTTAATTTTTGTCCTCTATTCATTTCACAGTATCAAGTTTCACAAGTCACTGTTGTTCCCATTAAAAACACATTTTTAACAGTGGAAAATGAGTAACTGTAGTTTTTCAGCTGTACATTGAAAGTAGCCTTGTATAAAACTGGTGCTTTTTAGCCAGCTTGCACTTTTGATTTCTTCCTTTATTTTTAGTCTTAAATCACAAATCTTAAACCATTCTTAACCCTCTCTTTTTGATAAACTGTAAGTTTTCCTTCCAAAATTTTGTGTCACAAATTCCCCACTGCTGGCTTCTCTGTTATACAATTCATTCCAAGTCAGTGTTCCATTCCAAGTGTGCAAACAAAACACCCCTTTCATATCACGCTTCTGCATTCCAGGTAGAATTGTGCCAAAAAAATCTAACTATGATATGGATTAGACATCAAACTACAGTATTAGGGCCAGATCCTGCTCTATTAATGTCATTAGAAATTTTGCCATTGACTTCAGTGGAAGTAGGCTTGAGCTGCTTGATCCACAGTTCAAAAATAAAGTACATTATAGTTTGGTTGCACTAGACTCTGTCTCATTAAGGAGCGTTCCACTGGGTTATAGTAATTCTTCACCAGCTTGTTTTAACCCTTCAAGCTATGGATTTTTCACATATACATTAATACATGCATTAGGCTTTTCTTTTGAACCCTTTATAAACTTTCTTACATATAGTAGAAATGCAGGTAGAGAGATGCTTAACTGACATTTAATTTCAGTGGTCATTTGGCACCATCTCCTGATGTTGCTGGGGATAATTTTTCCTTCTGTCCCATCTGTTCCATTTATGACATAGGTTGTTTCCCTGGACACTGCCATCAACTGTCCCCTTGCATATAAAGTAACCGACTAAAGGATTTGGATGAAATTTCTAGATTAGTTTGGTTCAGCAACAATATTATCTGGATTTATGGCTCTTCAATTAGAGCCCAGTGGAAGAAATTCCACTGACTTCAATGGGACAAGGGTTAGGGTCTTATATGGTGAAATTGTTTACTGATGGCTTGGCTTCTGGACTGGAATCTGTGGCTCTGGGGCAGTTCACCTCAGAGCAGGGACCTCAAGGCTTTCCCTTTTGTGGACAAAATCAAACTTTGAAATACTGAAATCCTCTGCAGATCAGAACTACCTTTCTGCACAAAGTGGAGAGCTGCTCTGCTGGGCTTGATTTATGCTGTGGAGATGCCTGAAGTTATAGAATATAGCTCTTAACTGGCTCTTTGTTCTGCTCTGCCATCCTGGATCTAACTTTTCACTGACTTGCATCAGATACTAGGGTAACATTTTCAAAAGTGCTTAAGTGACTTAAGAAATTCAATGGGAGCTAGGCACTAAGTCACTTAGGTGTTTTCATAAATTCCACTAGGTGCCTATCTGCATCTTTAGACACCAGAATACCTTTGTAAATCTGGCCTCACTGTCCAAGTCACTTTAAAAAGTGGGACTTAGGCTTTTAAGTCACTTAAGCACTTTTGAAAATTTTACCCATGGGCTAAAGTTCACCTGCTCCTGTAATCTGGCTGAGTGTACCTCTACTTGTTACTTTTGCCTGCCCACTTTTAGATGTCACCCACCTCCTGGGGCACCTAGACACCATTGTGTGTGAAACTTTGAAGTAAGAAGATAGGCTATGTCTATATTTAGGGTGGTGTGTACAGTGCAGGCACTACATGTGAAAGGCAGACTACATCCACACTTGTCACTGCAGTGTGTAGCTATATGCCACACTGAAAGGTTGGGCAGTGGGGAAAGGCTTTGGTGGGGGAGGCGGTGGGACATTACACTGCTAAAAATAGCAGTGTAGACATGAGAAGCATTTATTTGGCATTTAGTGGGCTGCATAGGGTATATACTCTACTTGCTTAACCCATACCTTACAGTTCACACTGGTATTTATAGCCATGCTAGCTGGGAGTGTAGTGTCTGTACTCTACACTCCACCGTATATGTAGATGTAACCATAGATCATGTCTGAGAACTTATAAACACTTTGGTTTAATGGTACTACTATTATTGCTTGGTCATGGTAGAATTACATTATGGCCACATTAATACCGTTGTGTTCATTATAAATGCAATTATACTGTAACTACAGTAGATGAGTTCAAGATTATGGGACACAAAAGAAAATGCTAATGAGTATTTAATGAAGTTATTCCTCTGCAATAAATTCCTCTTCCGTTCTGGATCCACAACTTTTTTAATGGACACATTAAGAATACTTCCCTTATTTCATTTCTGTAAGGATTTATGCTGCTATTTTAAAAGCAAGTTACAACCCCACTGTGACAAAGTTCCTCCTCTTCCTTGGTGGGTCCTGCGCTTATTGGCAGATTTGCTCACCTCAGAGGTTCATGGCAGCCCTCAGTTTGGCCACTTCCAGGGCTCAAATCTGCCATTCACACAGTTAGCCTCATCACTGACCAGCATGGGGAAAAGGAAGAAGAACAATCCCCACAGTCTCTGCTGATCCACCTAGTGGATCGGGGAACAGGCTAGAGACCTTCCCCTCTGGTGGAACCCACAGACCAGGTCAACTCCTCCGGTATCAAATAGGGAGTTGGAGGGATGGGGGGGAACCCGGGCCCACCCTCTACTCCGGGTTCCAGCCCAGGGCCCTGTGGATTGCAGCTGTCTACAGTGGCTCCTGTAACAGCTGCATTACAGCTACAACTCCCTGGGCTACTTCCCCAGGGCCTCCTCTCAACACCTTCTTTATTCTCACCACAGGACCTTCCTCCTGATGTCTGATAATGCTTATACTCCTCAGTCCTCCAGCAGCACGTCCTCTCACTCCCAGCTCCTTACGCACACCTCACTAACTGGAGTGAGAACCTTTTTAAACCAGGTGTCCTGATTAGCCTTAATTAATTTTAGAAAGTTCCTGAGTGTTCTGGAATAGTCCCTGTTATTTTACCCAGGGAAAAGGGACCTGCTTAACCTGGAACTAATGTATCTACCTTCGACCACTCTTTTGTAGCCATCTGGCCTGACCCTGTCACATTACCAATGAAAAACAAACCTAGCAGAACACAACCCTCATGTGCAATTTACCCAAAATTAATATTTGAAAGCCTGGAATATTTATCACAGAAAAAAATTCTCCTTGGAATAAAAAAGAAAACAAAAATACAATGAACCCAATCCTTCACAAGAATAATCTTCTCTCAAGTGAGTTGTTCTACTGAAACAAACAGGACTACTTTCCTCAGTGAATATTACTCTCAGGAGCAAGGATTTATAGGATCAGGCATTAAATCTGTTTTTTTGGTATTCAGCAGAGTGTATTTACATGTGATATAAAAAGAGAGCAAAATGTGTAACAAGCAATATTAAAGCAAAATGAAAATCTTTATTTAAAAATACGACAAGAACCTGTCTGACAATATAGTATAGCTAAGGTTTGTTTCCCCATTCCAGTTTCTTGAGATTGGAAATTAACAGATTGGATTTCAGACCCTGCTTAAACTGAGCATGCCTTCCATGAAGTGAACATGAAAGCTTAAACACTGAAAACACTTGTATTTTAAATGAGAATTGCATCTTCTCTTTATTTTGTTCTTCCTTAATTCACTTATGTGGTGTTTGCCGGCTAGGCTGGAGTAGATAACTGTAAAGGCTGCTTAAATGCTGGTAACAGAAGCTGCATTTTATAATAATGCATGCTAATTACTTGAATTAAAATAAATGATGGTATCCAATTTAATAAGGTATAAATCTGATCCTTTGGTTTAGAGTTAACCCTCCCATATGCATATACCATGTACAGGAAACCACTTGCACATTAGCTCTGGGACTAGAGGGAGTAGATGACCCTGTTGAGGTCCCTTCCAGCCCTACATTTCTATGATTTTGCTCATTGTGTCCCATTCCCACCACTGTGTCACTAAGTGGTTTTGTGACACTCAGCTGTT